TTAACGTTCGTTCGTTATAGTGTTTGTTATAGCGCGACTGTTTAAGTTGAGTGTATCGAAAAGTTGTATTCGGAAAGAATAAACCAGTTTTATTTAAGAGAGGACTTGTGTCGCTAAAGTTTCGTCGGAACGAATTTACGGAAAATCAATTAACAAACGGAGACGTAACAATATATTGTTTGGGAAACATGGCTGACAAATGATCATAAACTGGAAGGTTTCTACAGTTAGGCATTTTGCCTTTCATGTTATGTTATGAAGACATTTTAGAACACTTGCATGTTGTTATTGATATTTTAAATTAGTAACAACTAATTTTCATCAACTTGTAGTATGCTTTGGTACTATTATATTTCCTATTATGTACAATATGTGAACTGTGTAGCAGTTTACTATTTGGTTAATATTGTTGTGACACCTTGACTACATGAAGTCATGAACATCAGACTTCCAACCATTACATTTTTTAAAAATCTTTATTTGTAGAAAATTCATTCATCCTAAAGATGGCTTTAACAGGACCGAAATCTGAGTGGTAAAATAATTTTAACGTGATGTATTTGTTTGTTAATAAGCACAAAGCTACACAATTGGCTATCTGTGCTGCTGCCATCATTGTTATAGAAACCCAGTTTTTGGCGTTGTAAGTCCATAGACATATCACTGAGAACTATCACACTGTCCGTACTTTTCACGTTCCAAGGATTATGAAGTGTAATTAGCATGCTGGATAGTGAATCCAAAGGTTCTTGTCCCGTTGCCACAAAATTGCACTCTCTACATTGAAGCTATGGGTGCATTATAAAAGTGAAGGTCAAATCCCACTATTTGGCCAGTCTAAAAGGTGGCGACTGGTGCTGTTGACTAGCTGCCTTCTAAAACAAACAATTTAAGAAAAACATTGAATAACTAATTATTTTCCTTGGAGCACTAACTATCATATATCGTGGTTATTATGTATGATGGTAGAATTTGCATGCCATATATCTAAATCCGTAAATATGTATTTTAGGAAATACTTTTTAATTGAAGAATAATAATAAATATTGGCATTTTTTTTTTTATCTCCTCAAAGAAATGTTTACTTGAAAGAGTTTCATGCAAGCATAAAAAATTTTAATGCAAGCTTTTGTCTATGTGATAGAGCATTCTAAGGGCTAAACTGAATGATCATTTGAAGGTACCTGTCAATTTCTTTGCTAAAGAGAGAGAGATAGAGAGAAAAAGATACTAAATACAAATCCTTCAAGCTTTCAAAAAGTGTTTCATAATTTTCACACAGAGCTACAGAATGGGCTATCAGCACACAGCTGTCCCTAATTTTGTACGGACAGATTAGAGAAAAAAGCAGCTAGTCAACAATCTCACAAGTATAACAATCAAATCTACTATATTAAGGTGTTTCCAGTATCTTTGTAGACTATGCCCCCAAAGCCTATTTAATCTGGTAACATTAAAACTTATTTAACCTTGGTTCTACAACACTTTTGTCAACGATGAAAATTGCCTATTAGGAAGGAATACTATTATTTTTAAATATTCCAAGAAGTTTTCTTTATATTTGGTAAAGCAGCATACAACATCATGAATTAACTTTCGGTACACAGTTCCTATAGGTATCTTTATGTTCGTGTATTTTTTGGTATTACACTATGCCTTTAATTATATTGGTTTTGTGTTAGAAATAAACATTTTGTATTTATGGCAAAGCCTGCTGTCCCTAATTTTGAACTATTGACCAGAAGGAATGCCTACAGAACCTTGCCACTCATGCTAAAGTACTGACTGTTACTTTTATAACAAACCCATAGCTTAAAGGGAAAATATTTGGTACTAATGCAGAGATTTGAACCCAGTTTGCCAGCTCCAAAATTAGAGGTATACCGTAGGGCTAACCCAAACTCTACAAATAAATAATTAAAATTCTAAAACATGCTTTTGTAATATAAGTAATTTGTAGATTGTTTATTGCTTTGTTATAAATTGTATATTCAATTCAAAATTGTTTTGCAATATTGAACCACAAAATTTTTATCCCCCCCTTTGTTCTCTCGTGAGGAAAAAAAGTCTGGTTATTAAATCTAAGAGATACATTTATACAAGTCTTGGTTTTTAAAATTGACATTTTTCTAAGCGACATCTAGGTGAAATTGTATGTAAAGAGTTTTGCATTGAAGCTTAGTCTTTTGAAAACTAAAAAGTACCTATATGCTTTTGAGTGGATATAGTGAGGTAACTTGAGAAAATATTCAAAACTTGGATCACTTAAATTTTGAGTTTATTGAAATGAAGAAATATATACATGCATTTCACCAGGTTGACCTGCCATCTTCAGGTGATTAACATACTGTATGTTGATAACCTGATGATGCCAGGACAACTTTGTGAAACGTAGTGTACTTATATACTTCTTACTTTCAATAAACTAGAAATTTATGCCATCTAAGATGTTAATTTACCTATGTTAATTGCAGTTTTTTCTAATATTTGGTTTTGTTTCAAAATTAGAGATACAATATACATCTATTATCTTCATTCAACAAAAATACAAAAGCTTAAAATTTGTCTTCCTGTAGAACTCAATTGTGACATAGTTAAAGTATATGATTGTTGCAGTTCTTGTAATAAGTTGTAGCAGAGAAATTTGAAATAAACAATACTGATGCAGAATCAAAACTAGTTTTCATTAATCATATAGACTGTAATCTTTCTCTCCCTCTTGGTGAATACAGTTGTTCACACTGGTATCTTTTATTTTTAAGAAATTACTCTTTTGGATTAAAAGTTTTGTGATTATTAGGATGGACAAAATTAAGATTACAGTCTAGTAAAATATGCATAAACCAAAGTTTAATATTTGATGGTGTATTTAAAAATATTGTGTAATATGAAATAAAAATTAATTATAGGAAATTGAATTTCTGGTATAGAGAAAATGGCTGGTACGCATAAGTAAAAAGTAGTTACTTTACTTGTTTGGAGATCAAACTTGCACCTTTGCAAACAAAAAAGTTACACATAGTGGAAATGTCATATAATAAGAGAAAAACAAATTCATACAAAGCACTAGATGTGTATTTACTGAATAATTATTCAGTACTTATACAGAAATGCAATAGCATTAGCTTATACTGTTTTATGTTACATTTGGAAAAAAGTGTCCAATCATTTAAATACACAATTAACTGAAAAACAATGTAACCAAACTGAATGGCTGTAGTTTTCTTCAACCAAAGGTTTTGTCAATGCATATAATATAAACATATTACTTCAAAACTGTACACTAAGACATTTGATTCAGGAAGTAAAAAAAAATGTAGCTAAGTTTGTTGAATAAACCTTAGAAAACATTAACATATGAACTGTAAAATCGGTTATTTCTATGACTGATACTACTTTATATGTTAACTAAGCACTATGATGAGCTTAAAGTTGAATCAATGTCATATCACATTAGAGCCAACAGTCTTCACACTGCAGTTCCTCACTGTGTAGTTGGATATAAAAAGTTCAACTTGACATGACATCTTATACCAGTTAGAAAATACGGTATCCTACACTGACGACAAACTTTGTAACAGACTAGTTGACTATGAAATTTGCTATTTTGCTTACTGCAAGTTGAATCCAAGCTTGTTTCTCCCTACATATTAACATATATCTACCCAAGCCTTTCCAACACATTCTTTGTCTTGCTGTAATGAACTACACTGAAAACAGAAAAAACCCATTCCTATCTCAGCTTGCCATTACCATATCTTATTGTAAAGAAATTCACAATAAACAACAAAGTTACACTTTTATATTGTAGTATTTCCAAAGCACATAATGATATTTTGCATTCTAAACATAAAACATACTGGAAAAGCCATTTCAGTTTTAGGTTCTCAATTAAATGTGGCCAATTAACAGTCAATAAATGAAATGCTGCTTTTTGATGGTTTCTTGTAATATTTATCAAGAACAAAGATTTTGTTGCATAAAAAAAAACAATATAGTAACTAAAACGATAAAAACAAAACAGGATAATCTAATAAAAATTACAATAATCAATTATTTGAGATTAAACACTTTGATGGCCTTTGGAGTGTAATGTTATAAACTTATAGAAAATGTATGCAATTATGTGTTGCACTTTTACCATCTAAACATAAATAGCAATTTTATTTTTTTTAACCACTTGCAAGTATAAGGATTAAGTTCTTCTCCCCTTTACACATTGCTAAACCTACAAAAATATTACTGGCAGACCTTGTCACATGAATTTTGATTTTTCGTTGTTTTGAAGTACAAAGATATGGTACATTTAAAAAATCATGCACTCTAAGCAAACTGTACATTATAAAAAAGCGGTATTTTTGAATGCAAATATAAAAAAACAAAACAAAAGGAAAACAAATAGCACTCTTCTCACACTGCATATAAACACACGGTAAATTAAAAAAGTTGAAAGATTTGTAACTTTTTCACATCAGCTAAATACTGATAAGAGTTTTCCTGTTGGTGATTTCAATTAATTTAGTAATAAATAATAAAACTTCCCAGGGAAACCGAACTACAGAACAGAAAAATGTATGAAACACTACTTACTGATAAACTAAGCATCACAATATAAAGCACTTCTTTTAACAATTATGTCTGAAATTTACTGCAAAATGCAGTATGTAGGAACTGACTGCTTGTGTATCAAAAATAAATTCAGGTCCAGAGTCTGAATTTTGTATAATTCTTTTTCTGTCTGGATGTCTTACATAATTCTATTATAAAAAAAATCTTGTTTAACTATGGTTGCTTTTATGTCTAAAATAACTCCACTGTCAGAGTTCTGTCTAGGTGCTCAATACAAATTCAATTTCTGGATCTTAACATTACTCTGTCTAGATATCTTGTAAAGTTGTATTACATAAATCTCATAAAACTGTCACTTGTCTAGAAGTACAGTATATTTTAAGTGTTTGAACCTGTACAACTCTGACTGCTTTCATGTTTAGTAAAAATTCAGTGTTTACTGACTGTCTGGATTCTATAAAATTCAGACTTCTAAACTATGTTGTATAAATCAACCACCCAAGTCCTGTACAATTCTATTTATTAAGTAGGGTTGAAATTTATCCTGAACAAGTTGCTCTACTCAAGATTTGGTAAACTAAGAGAGCACCATTTATTGCAAAATACAAACAGATTTTATGACAAGTTAAACTACAGTTTGATAAAAGTAACTTCCAGCAGCCAGATTTTTTCAAAACTATTGTGACAGTTATTAGTAAAAGTTACTTCCTTTAGTAATAATGGAAATTTAATATAAAGCAACGGTATAAATTAGGTAGGAGAGTAATAGTTTACAAATAAAAAAAACTAGATAGAAGATTATGAACAAGAAGAAAACATTCCGCAATTTGAAACTAACATAGAAATTTGGATTTCTTTACTTCAGAATTTGCAAGCTAAACTACATGAAAGATTATCTATATAGATCCATCCCTAATTCTGAACTAGACTAGAAGAAAGGCAGCTGGTCAACAGCATACACTATACACTCCTAAGTGGGATTTGACCATCACTCTTATAATTCACCCACAACCTCGACGTGTGGAGCAAGTTCTTGTGGTGACAGCTACAACCTTCAAATTCACAGTCTGAGCAAACTAACCACTAAGCTTTTACCAGCCCCAAAAGTTTTGAAGAAATTAGTATACCAAATATTTCATTAATATGGCATAAGAAAAAACACTGGTCTTGTAAAGGTCTGTTTGCTGTTGTTTATAGTACTTTGGTGACTGCCACTGAAAGAAAAATGTGTGATGATACATGTAAATAACAGTGGTATTTCAGTAATAAAAAAGTGTGTTTTTAAGTGTGTTTTGTGTAATTTACAGAAAAAAAATTAAATTTTTTGCACACTTACATCTTTTATGGTGCTGAAATGGAATCTGTTAAAAAACACATTTACTGTCAAGTTGTTTCATGAGTACATATGAAACAAAGTCAGTGAACAGCTGCAGGTACACTTAAAGGTTAACCAAAATCTATTTTGGCACTTGTCTCTGTCTTAAAAACATGTATGGCACCAGTAAAGTAACAGTAATCTCATGAAATTTATAACATATTTTATATCCTTCGTAAAATGAGAAAATTATAGAACAAGTATACTGATATGTAATAGGCTCAATTTCAAAAATTAAAACAAGAGAGAAAGAGGAGCATGTCATAATACAATTATTCAGTTTCCTTCGAGGAATAGAGTTAAGGCATATAATGCCTCTCAAAATTAAGGTATGACAATTACAACTTTAAACTTTACACCCTTGGGAACTTAACATGGTATAACTAAAGACTAGTGTAGTAAATTCTTAGCATTATGTTTTTCTTTCACAAAAATAAACAATATTCAGCTTCATGACTAGACTCCCAAAAATACTAATTAACTTGAGTTTGTTTGTTTGTTGTAAAGCACAAAGCAACACAATGGGCTATCTGTGCTGTACCCACAACGAGTATTGAAACCCAGTTTTAAACAGTGTGAGCCCACAGATTTACTGCTGGAGCCACTTCGGGGCTTGACGAGTTGAAAAATCTAACTTTATGAACAAGTGTAAATGTTGTTACAGTAGGAAATGTAACTTAGATATACTGGAGGTTTACTTTAATATCTTCCAAGAGGTATGGAGAAGATATAAAAATAACTTTTGAAACTAAAATGAACTTATGTAATCTTTACTTTCTAGACCCAAACACTAACCCTTGAGTTCACAATTTTGTGATTTGTTTCTGATGGCCTTCAGAAAAATAAAACAATTTCACAAAATGCTCAGTCTATTGGGTTAAAGGGAGATTTTCTAATAACAAAGTTTACACCTTATCATTAAATTTCATTAGTTAAGAGAAATGAAAACATACAATAGCAAAGTAAGCTACCATTAAGAAGTGCATCTAGTACCTTAAATCATGGATAATACAAAAATATCTACATATTAAGCCTAAGCATTAATAACAAAGAAAATATTTTTTTATTAAAAGTGCAGGTAACATATAAGTGGAAAGCCCTGGAATACGTATAATTCACTTCACTACAAATAAAGTAGAAAAAAAGATTTCCAATTTATAGAAAATACTGAATAAATTTATGTTTCTTAGATTGTTTATTTAAAAAAATAAGTTTTTAATTCTTTTACAAAACTGTCTCACATTGTTCCAATGATTAGTTAACACTAAGCTGTAAAACAACAAAAAAAAGTAAATACATATACCAGAATCTTGTAAACATGTGAAAGCAGGAAGTAACTTTAAAAATTAGGTTTTAATAACAATCTCGTACTAAGCAAACTACAAAAACATGAGAAAATCTCATACTAGTATATGCACATTTCTTTAAAGCTGAGACTACGTGCTATCAGTATTTTCTGGTAGTTGAAGGCCCATTGAAGAAAGAATGCTGCTAGCTGGTCCAGGCATACCTTGCTGACTGTTGTAAGACTCCAAAATATTTTTTAAAACAGTAAGATCAACATCAATTGGCTGTACTTCAAGATCATCTTCCTCGGCTGACATAGTCTGATTCTTACTTTCATCCTAAAAAGATATATGTATATCATTTAATATGTTAGGCCAAAACAGTAACACAAATGTAATAAAATGATGCCCATTTTTGAACTGTAAATAAACTATGTGAAAAGACACTAGATGATATAAACCTATACAAGTTACAACAGATCTTGCTTTCTTCAATACATCTTTTTAAGTTGCTAGAAGTAATCAAATAATCATGAGTAAATATTTATGGTCAGCTAAACAACACATCCAAACTGGTTGATATCTAACAATTGATGATACTAATAACAGAATATTGTAACAATAGTTATTGTTCTTTGTAAAGTGGTGAAAAAAAAATCGTTTGATTTAATATCATCTTAACATCCTGGTTTTTCTAGTGTTTAGGGACAACACTAACTTTTGTAAAGCAAAATTCTTTATAACCCAAACTATGCATGATGGTACACAAATTCAGATTACAACCTCGTAATATAAAACAACTTACACTGTCTACTACATTCCAAATTACCATAATTAGGAGAATGTAACTGATCAGGTCAACTAAGAATACTTGTATACTTCAACCAACTTTAAAAATGAATAGTGCGACAAATCCAACTAAAAGTTATACGTACCTTCCAGCACTCTGTTTTTCAGAAATTTAAAATTATCACTGAAACAATTTTCTATGAAGCCCATTATAGTCACAAGAACACTGCAAGGAAATTATTTTTTCCTAATACTGAAGTTTCATTCCACGTTAACTACATACATATGTATGAATACTGTATAAAGAATGATTTTCCTGCATTGTACCAAATAATTAATTTAACTACTCATTTCATATATTGTGTAATGATTTCCTGCATTTTACTGAACAACTAATCTTGTTACTCACTTTGTATACTGTGTAATGAATTTCCTGCATTGTACTGAATAACTAATTTTATTACTCACTTCATATACTGTGTAATGAATTTCCTGCATTGTAATGAACAATTAATTTGATTACTCACTTCTTCCAAAATACAAATTCCTCTATCACCGACTAGTTTAATAATGTTTCAATACTTTTATTCTAACTTACCACGATTTTTAAAACACTAGTTTAAACAAATCAAGTGTTCTGAGGTTGAACTAAAACTGAAAAAATAATGTTTCAATATATCACGTGTTCTGAGGTTGAACTAAAACTTAAAAAATATCCTTCAAATAAAGTAGATTATTTCATTGTTTAAGTATTCCTGCATTACTTAATAATTAATATATCACTTTACAGTTAATTTATCTTTTTTTATTTCTTAATTTAGATTCCAGAATCTCTAAAACAGGTGTAGGTATTTATTGTTACTTTTTTACATGCTAATCTTAACTAAAATACTAAAATGATTTACTTAGCTTCTTTTTACAATACAAAACTATTAATTCAAAACTAATGCTAACCTACAGGAGTTTTATGCCTAATAAATAATTTTATTTTAAAATAACACAAACAAACTGTTTTCCACCATATATGGCAGATGTAGTGCTATATGGTTGCTTTTACTTATGGTAGAGGTCATAAATTATATACATAAAACAATTTCTGAATGCAAACTCAAATGTATGGCCAATGAAATGCCTTTCAGCACTGCCTTAGGCAGATTCACTGTGAAGCTGATCCCTCTGTTATGGCTTAGCAGCATTTCTTACACAGTTTGACCATAAACATATGGCATATTTAGAAGGTTAACATTTATGCTTACTTTGCATTTAATATCTTAGACATTTAAAGAAAAAACAAACAAAAAAGATCTGAAGTTGTTTGTCATCTTCATTAAATAGTGGTTTCTATCCTTCAGTCAGCACTGAAAAATTTAAAAAACAGTAATAAGAATATTCAATATTTTTATTTTATTTTATACTATTTCCAGCAGTATTAACAATGAAATGAAAATGAAGGCAAACTATATAGAGTATATGCCTTTTTTGTAAATCTGTGTCAGATTACTTTAAAATAATAATAAAGTGGATTTTTATGGATTCAATATTTATTTTAATTAGTTCTAATTTTTGAATGAAACATTTTCTAGACATTTATTACACACTCACTTCATTTTTAAGTTGACTGGCCAAAAATAGATGTGTTAGTACAATGATTTCAGCATCCAAGGACACTACAAATACTGACTGTCTACAATTTCATTACATAATAGATATTTTTCTGTTTTTTTGCAAACCAGTAATTTTGCACTAAGATATAATAGAAGATGAAACTAACTTAAAATATTAAATAATTTGCTGGTCCAAAAAAATTTATAAAGTGGTAGAGATTAATGTTGCTGTACACATATAAAGGCAGAATAAACTCAGCTTAATAATATAATCTTTCAAGCTCAAGCTAAGACTGAAATAAATATTAGGCACCTGTTTCTGATCAACTTGTTGACTAGAAGTAGTTGGATGTGAAGGCATTTTTCTTTCAAAACTTAGTCCTACATTTGTCTGAGCCAGTTCTTGATCCATCATTTCCATGTACTCTTTCATCTCCTTCACCAAGTTTTCTTTATCTTTACCATATGATGCTTCATTTGTTTTAGATTCTACAGTGTGTGTGTGTGTAAAAACAAACAACATATTCACCAAAATCATAATTTCTATATTAATCTACTTATTGTACAACCCTATTGAAACATAGTGGGATTAAAATGGTATTCATGGATTACAATATAAATGATGTCAGAGTACTACTACGAGGTGAAAATTTAGTAAATCTTCACACATTCACATTAAATGATTTTTTTAGATTCAAAATTGGAAATTTTCTTAAAAATAAATCAGTTATTATAAGTGGCAAATAATCAATGTCGTAATGTGTAAAAAAAAAAAAAGAAATATAGCAGGAAATAATATTTGTTATAAAAAAATACAGAAACACTAAATAAATATAGTTTAAGTTTGATTTTAATACAGCTAAGAGTATTATGAAATTCTCAGCCATGTAAAAACAGATTGTCAGAAATATTGCATATTAATAAAATACTGTAATTTGACAATGATCAAGTCCCACTAAAAAATGTACTGTTTCAGTAGAATCACCATTTTTCTGAAATTCTAAATTTAGGATTTTAATTTTCGAAATTGTTTTTTGCTTAAATCTACATCTCAAGTGAACAGAACTATTTTGAATGGGTACTAAACCAAACTATAATTTAATACTGACCACTTTTTAAAGATGTGTAACTCTGTCTTATTAAATAAACATGCTTATTAGTCCTAGAATTACTGGTGGTTATAATTGACCCCAATGGCTTTTCAAACATTTATTATTTTACTTTATGTGCCAAATTGCTTATGGGCCAGTAACTTTATCGGCTACAGGGTACCTAATACTATAGGAAGGAATCACACACAACATAAAAGAAATGCAAACAAAAACACCACGTATATTGTAGTTAGTACTATTCATTAATGCTATATTCCATAAGAACTCCAAAGTTGGTAACTGAGGGTTAGGCTTAAGAACTCCAAAGTTAGTAACTGAGGGTTAGGCTTATTTTGTTTACATAACAACCACAAATATAGAAAAAAAACAAAAAGAGTGGCAAAACAAATTTTACCTCAAAATCACCTTTGATATTTAAATATCCAAATCATTTCGGCAAATACAAGCCACTTTAGTTTATAAAAAAACAACTACTAATTATTTGAGTAGAGTTCAGTAGGGTTATCCAATTTTTGCTGACTTTTACTGGGTTAACTATGTGAGTTATCAGTTAGGTGGATGCGAATGGCTTATTTTATCTTATTTTTTCTCATGTGTGGTTCATATCCTGTATGTGTATTTTTATAATGAATTTATTAATAAATCTGAATTTGAAAATATATCGGTTAACATACTGAAAATAAATTGATTGGCCTCTGGATGGGCACTGGTGAGAACCTTCCAATCTTGAACATCACTCAGTTGTTTGTGACACACGATCAGCAGTATAGCTCAGACAGGCCTCTTTGATTATTTTCGGTTTTTATGATCCAAAAAATGTAAAGAACCTAATTATTATAAATATTTGCTCTTTATTTTTAATGAATGCTTTTGTTTTTATGATGCAATTATTTAAGGCTATCTCAAAATTGTGAAGATCATTTAGTTATGTTTTTGATTCAAGTCCTAATGGGGTAAACCCTGGATGAGTGTATATCTCTTCAGTTTTTATACCAAGAAGACCCAAGGTTGAATTCTGATCACTACCACCACAAACACAGTCCTCAGGATTACTTTCAAGATGGAAGCAGATGAGCAGACACATATTAGTTAGAGTTAAATAACCAGTAATATAAAAGTAACTAAATAATAATTATACATAGGTGATAATACACTGGATATAGCAGATACAGTGTGGTTGACATATTATCATACACTCTTCTTTACTATCACTTAGAAGTTCTTATTAATCACATAGGTGATGACAACAACAAAAAGCTTGTCTATTTCTACACATTCCATATTATCAAAGTTTCGTACCTTCTGTTAGATCAATATCACTGTCTTCCCCACTGTAATCACTCATACCAGAACTTGAGCCTTCACTAGAGTCTGGTTCCTTAAAATCTGTCACAAGAAAAATAAACATTTATTTACAAAGACTTATGCCTAATTCTAATGACTTCATGCATAAATCTTATATAACAAAGTAACCCTTTTTATATTTTTCAGGTTTACTCACAGTAATTTAAGTATTTTATTCTATGTTACACATTTTTCAACTCGGTTTAAACACAATCACGTTTGAAAACAGACTTGCTGGTTTGTTATCAGTGCTTATGCTTATCATCATTTATATTTACAGTACAACTAGCTGTTTAATAATTTGTTGTGGTAAAAACACTATAAAGCAAAATCTACACAAAACCATCTGACTTTATATAAATTTTCTCTCAAAAAGGTACTTATAAAAATTTTAACCGCTACGTTACGAGTTCAAATTAAGGATCATTAAAAATTTCATTACTAAAATAGAGAGTTACACTTTATTATACAGATACCAAGGAACTGGGAATTGCTCTTATACAGTCTTCATAAATGTAAACTATCATACTTTATTTTAAAGAAACTGATTGAGATGGGAGTAAGTATATGACTAAAAATAAACAGTGTCACATTTTATTTACTCTAAAGATACTTAAGGACTGAGAGTGAGATATTATATGGTCTCCAGAACTGTACTGTATCACACTTTAAATAAACTCAAGCAGATTGGAATAAGTTAGTATATTGTCATCACAACTGTACGGCACCACACTTTCTATATTTTAAAGATATCCAAAGATTGGATTACTGTGTCTTCAAATATACAATTTCACATTTATGTGTAAGGCATTTATTCACAAGTGTTAAGAGAATACAGACTTATATCTCATATGTTTTATTTTCCATATAAAAATTGATAGCTCTCTATTAGTACCATGGATTGAATACACATCCCACAAGAAAACACCTCTAACATTATCCTCGTGTGTTGCATATCACAAGTAATTTGATTGTTCAGAAATTGTGTTGAATTTATATATACCAATAATTAGAAAAAGATACTTTTACACACTCACTGAAAACAAAAAAATTTTTTTCACTTTAAAGATACAACAATGCATAAATCTAAGGACTTGGTAACTGAGAAGCTTGGCATGATAACAAAAATGATAAAATTTAATTTCTCTTCAAGATAAGAAAGAGTAAAATAATGGCATAACATCACCATAGCTCTATATAAAGGATAAAACCTTTAATCTAACCTGGGGTATTGCCACAGCTGTTCCAACCTTTGGAAGTTAGCATTTATTTACTCTGAAAATGTATTCCAATAGGTACTTACCTCCTCTCACCCAAAGTTATCTTGATCCTGGTCTACCCTCTAAGCATTGCTAAAGAAAATTTCATTACAGCATACCAGCCTTTATACCCCATCAGTTTTGCACCATTTAAGAACATGTGCTATATCATGTGACTACTCTCCAGCAATTCTTTTGCACCATCTATACTGGTGCAGCTAGCTCCCTCTACAGTTCTAGAACAATCCTCTCTTTCGGGAATTCGCAGGCACAAACCATAAACACTGACATCTCAGTGGGGAGACAGGGTGGGAAGTAGGTGACAAGAGGCAAGTACCTATTAGAAATACATTTTCAGAGTAAAAAAATGTTAACTTCCGAAACAGTACTACCTCTACTCACCCAAAGCTAGAATCCCACATTGTCCAGGTGGAGGGGCCAGTGAAGGTGCATCAATCACAAATCAAGTGGAAACCGACCTTACTGAAAGAACGGATGTGCTAGAATATGAAAAGAAGGCACACCAGTGGGATAAAGCACTACTTCTGGAACAAGTATGCTCTTCCCCAGTAACACCACAATTGAAGTCAATAAAGAAATGTACAGCACTGAATCAGTGTAGGAAGTGCTGGATAACTATGACATGAATCAGTATGGTGTTGACAAACATGGAAAAGCTCATGAAAGAACAGATGTGCTAGAATATGAAAAGAAGGCACACCAGTGGGATAAAGCACTACTCCTGGAACAAGTATGCTCTTCCCCAGTAACACCACAATTGAAGTCAATAAAGAAATGTACAGCACTGAATCAGTGTAGGAAGTGCTGGATAACTATGACATGAATCAGAATGGTGTTGACAAACATGGAAAAGCTCATGTGTATGCAACTACTTTCCTTTATATGTATGTGCCAAGGGAAGTGCCTTGGGTTACACCAAGTGCAGTACCTCCAGGCAGAACATCTAATGGAAATGCCTTGTATAAGATATAACGATCCACAAGTGCAGTTCGCCAGGGCAAAAACATCCAGGGATACGAAAGATATAAATTACTTATAAGTGTGATCATGAGAGTCATCATAACTAGCCCTCTGTCCATGTCATAACGAGCCATTGTAAGAAATGAGACATAGTACCGAACATAGTGATAGTGAGTCATAGTATGGTGCCAGTAAATGAGCTGGAGAGAAAAATGAAATAACAATACATGGCTAGGGCTTAAAGACCATGAATGGACAGAGCATAAAGGACAAAACTGAAATCCAATATGGCAAACACAAAGGGATGTGGAGGATGGACAAGACAAAAGGAAAAGGAGTGAAATAACATGGGAGGAGAAAGCTTTCTGGAAACGGGAGAATCTGAAGGAGTTTAACAGGGCAGCCCTATAACTAGAAACAGTTGACATGGACCAACCTTGATCAAACAACTAGATGAAGAACCGGGAAAGATGAAGTCCTGAAGGATGGAAGGGGCAGAAGCCACGGAAAATGGACCAAGGTCTCGAGGTAGACCACCGCTTCTGGTAAAACACAAGGAAGAAGGTCAAACGGAATGGGAAAGACGTTAATGAGGGATGAATCCCTGAGCTGAAGCAAGAGACCAGACAGAAGCCATGCATGAAGATGTAGTTTAGTGATTTCGGTATGAACTATGTCCGATCATGGTTGTCGGAGGAGAGAATGAGACAGAGGATGTTGCTCCTATAAGGGCGAGAGCAGAGAGAACCACGACTGAGCGAGCCAATATAGAGCAACGAGCAGGACATGACAAGGACTAGTCTGGATAAGGGAAAGGACTCTGGAGAAGAGTATGATCGGAGGGTAGGTACATAGCTGAAGACACCTTCAATCCTGACTGTATGCATCTGCTATAGGAGCTGAAGGGTGTCGAACCAGAGACTAAAAGGAAGGAATTTTATTATTCCAGTGAATGACAAACACATCTATATGTGGTGTTCCCATTGGAGAACACACCCACTGATATATCCGTGGAAGAAGGGAACACTCCATGACAAGAACCTGGTTGAGTCGATATAAGTGATCAGCCACCAGATTCATAACACCAATATCACCATGTAGTGCCCAGTAAAGGAGATCTAGTGTCTGAAACACAGGGATCTAGATTTGGTTTCCCCTTGCTTGGTGATATAACCGATGACAGTGGAATAGTCGGAATGAACCACAACCATCGCCCCCTCAGGAGTGGGAGGAAATGATACAGAGTCTGACAAACTGCCAAAAGTTCAAGGATGTTGAAAACAGAGAGCAGCCTTCTCAATGGACCACTGACTGGAAATTTCTTGGGAATCAAGGAAAGCCCCCCAACCCACCAAAGAAGCACCAGTAAACAGATGAGACTCTACACAAGGTGGAGGAATGAGAACCATCACCGTGGTCAGTTTCCTGTTGAGCAACCAAGCAAGGTCAGCCCTGATTCCAGGGGAAGAAGGGTAACGAGATGGTCCAAGGAAGCCCACATCCCGAAAAGAGAGAGAACCCCTTGAGCAGTGAGAAAAGCAGAAGGTAAGCCTGCTCCATATCCCTGATCCAAAGTGGAGAAGGCTGGGCCCAACAAAGATGAGAACTGAAGAAAAAAACCCACTGGAATAAGATATTGAGTGGGGTTAAGAATGGACTTCTTCAACTGGAAAAGAAAACCCCACCCGATTAGCTTCCTGAAAAAGTAAGCAGGCGTGATTGACTGACTGGGAACGGGAAGAGGCTAGCAAGATCCAGTCATCCATGAAAAGGAGAGTTCAAAGACCCAATGAGTGAAAATGACAAGCAAAAGAGTGTACCGCTCGACAAAATGCACAGAGCTGAAGAAAGACCAAACTTAAACGCCCGGAACTGGAAAACACAATTTTTGCAGAAGAACCAAAGAAAAACGACATGACACTGGAGCAGTTGGAATATGAAGATAGGCAACTGTCATAACAATTTGGTCATCCAGAGTCCCAGAGAAAAATCCCCTGAAGTGAGAGGTAGGACCCCACGATAAATCGAGGTTGCTCTAAATAAGAGTACAACCGGGACAGGTCTATGGCGGGTCTCCAATCGTTTAAGGGACAAGAATTAGACAGAAGTAAAACCTTGGTGGCTGGTCATCACTCGTTGTGTAGTAGGTCTTGAATAGACTAGGCAAGACGACTAGAAGAAATATTATCCTGAGAAGGTGAGAAGAAGATCTGTGAAGTGGATAGGGAGGATGGAGAGCAGAACTGAAGACAGAGCCCATTAAACCCACAGAAATGTCATGAAGTGTAGCTAAAAAGACAAAAACTCTCCATAAACTAAAGCCTGTACTTCCCCAACAGATATCATTGACCCTGAGAAACAGTAAGTGATATCTGATCAAAATATTTTACAGGTACAAGTACTGCCACATAAGAATAAAGATATCAGCCATATAAAGATATGATACAAAAAAAAGAAAAAAGAGCAAAGTTATATAAAAGGACAAATCTTGTAAAGATGTAAGGTAAAAGTGAAAATATAAAACTAAAAAAATTTTGAACTATATAGCTTCCTTTTCCATTGCAACTGGAACATGCAGCAACATGAATATTAAAAGGAGGTCGGTCAAGCTTTCCCCAATATTTTCTTGTTTAACTTACCCATTTTTACATCTTTACAAGGCTTGTATCCCCTTTTTTTTCATATACAACTTGGCTATTTGTTTGATAACACATCATTATATGGCTGATCTATTCATTCTAGCTTGGTTGCTTTTGAACATGTAAAATGTTTTGACCAGATTACTATTTATTGCAGAATTTTGCACTTTAAGAAAACAATAAATCTGAAAGTGTGACAGTAAGTTTGTTATAGAAATACCTAAAATAGAATGGATTGTATCTGAAAAATGCGAGGCATCAAAATCCACCTTATTGTTGCTAGTTTTCTTTTTTCTTCTCGGAGGTGGTTTAGGAGCTTCTACACCCTCCAATCCAGAAGTGTGCTGGAGAAACTCTTTCAAGCTCTCTGTTATAGCCTTGCCTATCTTCTCCTCCTGTCTTTATGAAATAGACAAGAAAATATACAGTACTATAGTTCTACATCTATATAGCTGTACACGAAAATCTGTAACTCTGTTACAATATTGGTAATAACAATCTGACTTATAGTTCTTCAGTTATTTATAATGTTTATAGCAGTATCACTATCATTCAATTATAAGAATGATGTCTATTTAGTTCTAAAACAAATCCTATTTCTCTTTAGAAAGTAGTCAATGAACATAATTGAAGATTTATTTTGTAAACTTATGATCCTCTAGAGAAATTTAAGTCTTTTATACAACAAAAACAAAATAAATATCTCACCCCTGTTGGTCAGAATCATCTTCCTTGCCAGCTAAACCTCCTCTTTTTTCAGTAAGGAGTGCCTCCAGCTGTTCAGGTGAGATGTTTATCCAAGAGTCATCTGAATATATTAAAGTTAGACACTTGAGACTATCAGATCAAAAATGTTAGTTCCAAGTCTGCTATAAATTCTTGCACCAATAATCTTTATGTTTTGTAGTCTTTCAACCTTTTCCCATGGTAATATATTCCTTACACACTGCACTTAAAAGTATAAAATAACAGAGGGTTAACCCTTATCGTGATTTGCCTGAGATAACTCGGGTGATCTCCATGCTTCAAAAAACATTTGATAGAGTTAATTCGGGCACATCATTTATCACTGCATTTTTAATTATTTGCCTGAATCTATTCACATGTTATCATGTATTATAATCAGTGCTTCCTAGATGGCACTGGAAATGCTGTTTGTGTTTGTCTCTATTGGACTTATTCTGAATTATATAACATAAATACTAGAAAAAAAGCATACCTATTCTTTAACTGTAATTTCACCGAAATAATATATATATATATATATATATATCAAGTATATATCCAGGTATGTAACATTTATTTATCAAGTTTATTTTATTTGCAAAAATATAACAGATCATAAAAGAACTTTTGTTTCATTAATATATAAGAGTAGGCTGTCAAAAATGAAATAAAACTGACTTTTTTTTAGCTCATTTCCAAAAAGACAAACATTGATGGGATTAATAGCAGAAAGTCTAAAATGCCTGAATAACTATACTATCAAGTACTTCTAGGTAACAGAAAAGTATAATAAATAGTCCTCAAAAGCTAAAAGTTAGTTAGATGGATCAGAAGACAGTATCTAATTTCGAGATTTAATTTTGTGCAAGACAAGTTTCTCTGGTAAATTACAATATGCATAGAGTTTACATGTAAAAATGAAAGATAAGAATGTTAAATTACTGAAAAAAACAGCATTTAGTCTACTCTTGAAATATTTTATGGACAGTTCAAGTTTTGTTCCCTAATTACAATGTAGATACCAAGTTTAAACACAAAAACAAGTGGCATTCTTAATATCAGTATTATCAGGATCCTATGAAGACAACATCAAATGTCATCATTAAAATGTGAAATACTACTATAAATACATCATGAAATATATTACAGTATCACTATCAAAATGTTAGATAATGACACCAAGTTACATGAACATACACACCTGCAACCTAGCAAATATTTTTTTGTGCTTCATAAAACCTCACTTAAGATCACTGATTACACAGAGGTAGAAATATAGCAGATTAATGAGTCAATGTTAAAAAGGCAAAGCAAAGCTTCCATGCTTAAGATAGCATACAAAAAATAATTCAAAGCTAGTTATTAACCACATATTAACTTTTTTAACTAATAGCTAAACCTGATAAGCCTGAGATTCATATTTTAATACCTTACTGATATGAAATAAACATTCTGTATTTTCTTTACACTTGTAGTATATCAAGAAAACAATTTTTGCAGAAAAAATATATCAAGTTTCGACACATCCTTAAAACAAAACCAAAATATCTTTAAGTACTTCTGAGTGTCCACACCAAAAACAGAACCAAAAAGTTTTTAGTGCATGTAACTTCTGAGCATCCAACCTGAAAATGGAACTAAAACATCTTTAGTAATGTTGTAGCTCCCAAACTGAGAATGGAACCAAAGCGTGTTTATCTATTTCTAAACACCCATACTGCAAACAAATCCAAAACATCTTTATCTATTTCTAAACACCCATACTGAAAACCAAACCAAAACATCTTTATCTATTTCTAAACACCCATACTAAAAACCAAACCAAAACATCTTTATCCATTTTTAAATATCCATACTGAAAACAAATCCAAAACATCTTTATCTATTTCTAAACACCCATACTGAAAAACAAACCAAAACATCTTTATCTATTTCTAAACACCCATACTGAAAAACAAACCAAAACATCTTTATCTATTTCTAAACACCCATACTGAAAACCAAACCAAAACATCTTTATCTATTTCTAAACACCCATACTGAAAACAAAATCAAAACATCATTAGCAACTTCTGAGAACAAATTCTTATAAACAAACTACAAAAAATTCTCAGAACTAGAAATAGCTTGATCATTTCTTATATATAATTAAAAAAATCCTAGAAACCCACATTAACTTGCAAATATTCTTATATTTTTTAAAATACAAAAGAATATATCATTTAGGTACACACCTAATAATTAAATTAATACACTGTTTCCAAATATTCAGCTGAAAAGAATTAATAATTCTAAAGAGCTACACTGACACTAAAAGATGTCCAATTTTTAAAGGCTTTTTAAAGTCAAGATTGCACAGATGTAAGAGAATCTATAAGTATATTCTTTGATAATCAACTGAGTAAATGGCAATACTAAATCATTAAATGACTGCCTTTCAGTAACACCACAAGTTAATAGTAATGTAGGCTTGAACAAAACAAATGAGAAAATCAAACAAATTTTCACATCTTGTTGGAAGAAAACACCAAGAAAGGTGTGAGGCTTTTAGTTCTGAGCTTTGATAGTTATTTTCATGGTAAACTATGAAGTAATTACAGCTAAAGACAAAAAATCAGTACTAGTGCACAAAGATGAATTGTACCTTTAAAAATTGTTTTTTTTTAATCATCATAATGCTATACTTTAGTAGGTACTTACAAAGTCAGGCTGAGTTGAATTACACACACATCACTTTAGATAGGATAATGAAAGTCATCTGTATAAACTCGGTAACTTACTCTTTCTATAATATGCATGGTTATTTAAGTAGATTTTAATACTCTTGATTGTATATATAGGAGTAAGTTTAGTGTAAATGGTAATTAACATAGCACTAAAGTATGAACCATTAGTAGATACACAATTTACAAAACACACGAAATTGTAAAGTTAGTCAAACTGCACATTAAATGTACAAATTAATTTTACTCTACTATTGAAAACCAATTTACATATAATTTTTTTATTATCTAAATCATGATAAATGGGAAATGCAACAGTCACTAAGATGTTTGCACTTTTCCCAAATACATGCACAGTAACTAAGTGTTTAAAATAGATAATTAGTAGACATTCACAAGTATAACAAAACCAGCTATATATCAGTTGGCATGAAATAAAAAATTCTCAGATAATTAACAAGTATTCATGATGTATTATCAAGGAATCTTCCCAAAATTTTAAAGCTATAAAAATTTCATAAAAACAGTTCTTATTACCATGGAAGCTGTCATATAAAAATTGTGTGAAAACTGTTTAAGTGAATGTATACCAAGTTTAAAATATTTTTCAGTAGACAATAAAGAAATTACAAACAATACAAAACAGATTGTTTGCTCAATTTCTTTTTTTCTCTCTTTCCGAAGCACAATCTTTTAAAGGATTACACTACCCTTAGTAATCATGCCAATATTTCTACTAAATCTTTATCAAGAACCAATTTTTCTCAGTTAAACAAGGTACTTCATTTATACTATTATGATTTTATTGAAGGCTAATTCTAAAACATGATTCAATGGAAAATGAGATTCAATAAACAAATTTTAAAGTCAAAATGCTATGATAAAGAAAATTCTCACTTTAATCTCTAAAAAAATTCAAACTGCTCTTGAGGCATCCCAAGAAGTAATATAGGGGTTTGCATTTGGATCTGAGCTCCCCCTTCTATCAGCATTCAGATCTGACCAATAGCATGTCCCCATGCTATTCTATTCATGTTTAGAAAACGTCAGTGGCATCCTGAGAGGTAACAATGGGGGAGTTGGCATTTAGTCTTCCCTTTGCATTAAACAAGTACATCAAATAATTCTAAATATAAGGTAAGACCACAAAATGATGGTTGGTCATTTTTCAAAATATGGAACTTTTTTTTTCCTGTGATAAACACTTTAACAAATGCTCATTCATGTTGACCTGTCAAATAATTATTTGGCTAAATGAAGAACATTAATTTTTCTTTAATAACTTACTCTCTATACTTGCATTATTTAAACTGTGAGCTCAGATCATTAACATAACTAAGCTTCCAGGATGAAGGAATTAAGACATTTTTCACAAAACTATGAGCACACTAAACAAAGTTCTGTTATCAAAGATTGACTGTATATGTAAAAAATGTAGCTTGTACATAACTATGACCTAGAAAAGAGCAACTCCACAACTCAAAACCAAGTATATAAACTTTATTGCTCCTAAAATACAAACTTTACTTGTCAAATTACATGCACATGAAAATTTAACTATAAATTGATTTTCTCTGAAATAGAAAACATTTTTCTCAACATGATATTTTATGCAGAGATTCCACTGTGAGGTAAAGTGGTGTAAAATATGTATGCATAATTTCATTTCTGTGCGTATTCATTCTTTTGTAATCATCCAAAATAAGCTTCCAGTGTTCTTATACATTTACAAGCTTAACATTAGTCATTACCACTGTTTGCTTTCTACTGACCACAAACATAAACTAAACTTATTTTCTGGTCAGAATATTACACTTATCATGCTGAAAAATTAAAATATTTGGTGGTTTTAATCATAATATATTGAATCATAAAGGAAAATTATGTAAAGAAACCTCATACATAGGCAACAGCTGTTACATACATAGACACATGCCTATACCTGTTTGACAACGTGCAGCAACTCAATTGCTGGCAACAAAAATTACATACTGAAATAGTGGACAAAGCAACTTTATTTTCATCTTTTTTGTTCTGCAGGTTCCTGCTCTAAAGATTCTTCATACTTGTCTCACTTGTTGAAAGGACGCAGCTTTGCAATTTTTGAAAATGTAGTGCATCGAAGGATCATATATCTAATTTATTTAATATCGTAATGTGACTGAGTTACATTATTAAAATATAGTTCCTTTTAAAATAGCATTTTGCATTTTATTTTTTTCTGATGACTTGGCTTAAGTACAGTATATATCAGTGAAGGATGTTCAAATTGCCACTAGCAACAAACAAAAAGTATGATATACAAAGTTTTTGTATCAAGATTTGTTTGCTTAGTTGAATTTTGTGCAAAGCTACTCAAGGGATATTTATACCAGCTATCCCTAATTTTAAAGCAATAGACTAGAAGGAAAGCATCTAGTCAACATCACCCACCATCTACTCTTCAGTTACTCTTTAACAATGGATAATGGGACTGACCATAACATTATAACTTCCCCACAGTTGAAAGAGCAAGCATGATCTGTGTAACAAATTAGTTATTATATATTTATTTGAATATCAACATTTGTTTACATTAAATTTATATATGTTTGTTATATTTATATGATATACATAGCTTATATTGTTAAATATGTATTGCGAAACTCCTGCCTATTCTCCAAAGTTATAGAAGATTCTTGAGAGTAAGAATCAACAATATGTATGTACGTAAATGCTTAAATGTAGCTTTGTATTGTTACATATCCTGAATTTTCTAGAAACTCTCCACACGCCTATAAATATAACCAACATGACACGCCAAAAAAGAATATCTATTATTAGTTTGCTGTAGTCAGTGTGCTATAAACTTCGGAAGCTATAACTGTACTTGTTATAACACTTATCAATTGCAAAACTTAAGATATTTGACCAGGAGCACTTACAAAGTTCGAACATTACAACTCATTTAACTTCAGAGGATTCTCATCGGACATTAATATTTCTATGAAAACATTACATAACATCATGATGGAAAACTCCACGTGTGTGGCTGGTGAATAATGAATGACAAAGTTAGCTAGCTCCCTGTTAAGTGAATTATATCTACGTCAACTCGTAATTAATTCGCTCATAGTGAACCCTCGAAAAGATATCAAAAAAGTTCCAGACTAGAAAGAAGACTTTATATTACTTGTAAGTTTGTGAAACTTTTGTTTATAAATCATTGTTTGTAATAACTATTTTTAATAACTGTTATTGTAAATTGTATTGTTGTGTGTATATTAAACATATTTGTGTTACAAAAAAAAAAAGAAAAAGAAAACTGTATGTATCAATCTTGTGGGCAAATATCATAAACTGACTATATATCGGCTCTTACTCAACTACTAATTCCAAAGTACAATTTAACTACTAAATTTAAATTATCATTTAACTAAATTTCAAACCATTCAAAATTGTAATAAGTTGCATCTGCGACAGGTTTTGATACAAAAATTCACAGTTTGCACGTCGAGCAACCAAACTACCAAATCATGCCAGGCTCTTTTGTATCATGGCACATGATTATAGCTGTTTCCTAGTAGAACTGCGAGATAAGTGCAATTTTTAATCAAATAATCATTGTGCTCATTAATCCCATGAGACTAATCTTTCTATTTTCAGCTTGTTTTGTTTTTTAAAGACATTTTCAAACAACCCTTTGTTTAATATGATAGACATCTTCAGGTACAACAAATTATATTACATTACTTTTCTAATCCTAAAGTGTCACCCATGAAAATGTATCATACATGGAACAGATAATTAATATCATTCCATGGGTTTCTCCCTAAAAACCTTTACAAGCTAAATCTACTAAAACTAAATACACTAATTACTCATTAAAAATGTTTGTTCATAGATGCCATATAATAAAACTAGTAAAGATTTTTGTCACATTATGTGGTAGATAATATATACTTCAGTGAAAACAAATTCACTCAATACTAGAAAAACAAAAACAGTAAAATGTTTACTATTTGGTAAGAAAACTTGTGATAATACTAGATAACCTCTTTCAAAATATTAAAATAATTCATAAAATGAAAATTAAAGTTCTGTAAGAAATATCAAAAATATGATAACATAAAAAAATCTTTAATAACAGATGTTTTGGATTTTTCTAATTTGGTCATCAATATAAAAAACTTAAAAAATTAACTTTATACATGTAAAAACATCATAAGCTTTTCAGCAAGAAGTTGTTGATATGGGTGGAAGTTTACAAAGAACACATCAAAATTATTAATATGTTTATACTTTAATCTACAGGCTGGAAGAAACTTAAGAAACAAAGGAGTCTGCTGAGAAATCAATAAATCAAACAACTTAAAGCTTACTATACTAGACAATGTTTAAGTTGCATATGACAACAATCAGACTTTTCCTTTTTCAGTGCTTCCTGTCAAGCTATAACTAATTGTAATTAAACAGAAGTCTTGTTCATGCAAATAGGTTAAATAGCATTATTTATTGTTAGACTTTTATTAGTCCATATCAAGTAATTTCTGACAAACACAGTTAAATGAGCAAGTTGTTCAGCAATCATCATTTTTTGAGCAATTAAAGAATAATGACTAATAACTTGCAGTACTGTTTTGTATGGCAATATATGCTAAGTAACACTGGTTACGTTTGTAGCTCAGCTCTTAATAAATGATTAATATATTAAATTAAGCTATGCTACTGTTAAATCAAAACAAGGTAAACACAAATAACAGGCATTACTGTGGCTAGTTATGTAATCAAAGGCCACTAGATAACACCTTGGATAGATAAAATAATCAAAAATGGCAATAATCAGAAACCTTAATTTTAATTACTTTATTATTTTCACGAGTCAGTAACTTCCACCAATTGTTAATTTTTACATGAGACTGACATAATCGATGCCCACGTATAAATTAATTATATCAATTAACCACTAAGCTCTAATGTCCAGTACTTAATTTTTATAAACAAAAAGTATGATTGTACTGTTGTATCACAGGAAAATACCATTCATTATTTGCCCAAAAATTTTCCAGGTTTGACCTCACAGTTTTCATTAAGGCCCAACACTTTGAACTTTAATCAAATGTATTATTTTGTGCCTTGTTATCATTTACAGCAGCAAGTTCTTTTTTTCCATATTCCTTCATATTTTAATGCACTGGAAGACTTTTACATTCTGTCAATTTCACCTAGGCGATAATACATTTTGATATTCTGGAAGTTTATAAACTTTCACAACAATTTGTTTCTACTCTTAAATGTTTTTTTTTTTTAAGTTAAATTGCAAATTAAACAGATATTACATTTGCCAAATGATAATGTTTTAAGGTTTCACCATTAAATCTGGAAATATACATTAAAATGGACTTTTTTCAAACAAGAATAAGCAAATGTCCAAGAAAGCCATACATATTAAACATCAAAAACATTATTTTACAGAGAAAATACAATGTTAGTATACATGACAGGGAAGTCAAATCCTCAATTTAAAAGAACTCTTCACTAATTTCTACAAAATGTTTGTAGAATTATAATTCACAACAATTTTTAGAATTCGGTTACAAATGCTGAAGCTCAGTTTGTGCCTTGAAGAATAACTTGAGTAGGCAATGGAAGTACAAACTCTTCCCTATAATAAACAGTTGTATTCATCAAAAATTATAACAAAGGGATGAAATTATGATTGATTTTATTTTGGTAATGGAATTACATAAAATTTCAAAATTAGTTTCTAATAAATGTTATGACATTCCATCTGAATCTTGTAGCCAACTGAAGCTGATGGCTGGCATTACAAGGTAGACATGGATAGTGGCTAATCCATGGAAGGAGGTTTGGTCCTGATATATATACACTGTTTGTTTAAACTTAGCAAGTATGGCATGGTAATGGAATTACCTGTCTGAATATATGTATGTGAATAATACATTAAATACCACCTCAGAATACTTGTTCTTACACCTATGCACTCAGAAAACTGTATTTTTCTATTGTGATGGTACTTCAAGCCTAGTGCTTGTGTTTGGCATAGAAAAGACAACAGATTTATGTATATGTATTTAGGCCAAATCAACTCCATCTGAAAAGCCAATTCTTGAACGTCTATCCATCTGTGGTTCAGTGAATACCTTGATTACACAGGACCTGTCAAAAGAATCTACATCATAAACTTGCTAAATTCCACCTTTTTTCAAAAAGTTGATGGTGACTTCATTGTCCTCAGTTTTAAGAACCAGGCCAACAAATTTCTTGGCATTCCTCTGGATAGAGTATCTAACAACCACCCACTTCAAGTTAAGATCTTTAGGCAAGGCTTCTGGTTTGTTGTCAAGGTTGGCTGTAACATCCCTTTTCACTGTGTGGTCTTCTTCACCATCAGCATATGCACCTTTGAAGTGGTGCCTGGTGGGAGGAGAATTTGCATGGTACTGTACACTGATGACAAATGGTGCAACCACAGTTACTGTACCCATTTTGTGTTGAGGATGGGAGTTATCTCATTCCAATCATCATCCAAGTTTTTGATTTCTGACTCAACCTCAACTTTGCTTATGTGTTACATCTGAGAAGACTAGTCTTTTTGTGGTTCTTTCAATGCCATCTACTGGACCTTTGCCAGGAAAAGTGGCAAAGAAATTCTACCCAGGCACATACAGGAAGAGGTGTTTGAATTGATTAGATGGATATAGATAAAACAACTACTTTCTGAAACTGACAGACAATTGAATCTAAATTTTGTAGGATTGCCTGGAATATTTGTCATGTTGCAGGTAATCAGAAACTATCACCATTGAATACGTTCTCCCCTGCTCCCAGGCACATACAGTGAACAGAGTGACCTGACTGTAAGCCCAATAGGCAGACTGAATTTCATTCTGAGTTTTTGCAGTGAAATTTTCAACAAAGTCAACCTGTACAACAACTTAGCAGTAAAACACTTCTATATAGTTATACTGAATATTTACTTGATGTGTTGGTGTGTTTACTCACCTTATGACTGGATGTTGTGCAATTTAAGGAGCATAGCATGGAACTTCTGGAAGTGGAAAACTGTTGCTGCCCTCTATTACGTACACTGAAGTTAAACTAAAACAATGCCTAAATTATCAGCCATCATCTGGAGCCAAAACCGTGAATTAGGTCCTATTACAGTAAGCTTACACAGCAAGAGAAAACCCCATGTAATTCTGTTACAAATAATATGCTGGTTTTCATACTAAACACAATGCACTATACTATACATGTAGTTTAAAACTAATGAAATGGAAAGAAAATTACTTCCTCCTTCAAACTTGGTTTACGTCTAAATGTTTTTCAGAGAGAAAGATATGCATACACAACAGAGTGGTCTGGTTTTAATTGGATGAAAATGATGCACACACACACACCTCTTAATTACAAAATCTGTATAAAATGCTAATAACCATGCAAAGTAATGCTCTCACATGAAGGTCACTACACTTAAGAATGTTTTGGTGATTCCATACACTCATAAGACATAATGAAGAGAGAATGATATACGAGTTTTTTTCTTGAGTCCTTCAACTGAGTATAAATGTCCAACTAGTAAACATTTTTTACAAAATTTCCTGGGTGACAATGAAGAAAAACCCCATATTTAAAATTATTATATTTTGAAAAGAAGTTACACTAGAGAATCAAAATTTTAATATAGGCATATTGAGAATCAAATTTTAATCACGAAAGTTTGAACATGGTATGACCAGTTTATCCACAGAAAACTTCTCTGATCAAACCCTACAGATCCATATATTTTATTTCAACTTTTCCAGCTTTCTTGTGGACCCTACTTTATTGACAAAAGTTATGTAATTGATCCAGTTGACTCAGAGATTTGTTAAGTACAACAAATGAGAAGATAATTTCTCTGTTCAGTGTTATCTCACATTTCATTAATTTATATAAAGTCAAGCAGTTAATGTGATATTTCAACTAATCAACAATTCTGGAAATCACAAAAAACATAAGAATGTGCTCTTTTAAAAAAAAAGGCCTGAGTGGCAACCAAATCTGTCCTAGTTCGACCATACCATTGTATGTCCTTTTACAATACTGTATTAACATATAGCAAAAGTTTGCTTATTCTGTACTGCCATTTTGTATTAGCTAAACCAAGAAAAAAAATACAGCAATATGCAATCAATTCAATGCAGCTTAAATTTTAAATGACTTCAGTATACAGACAGATATTACCTGTTAAAACTGGCTCAGCCTCAAGGCAGAAGCAGCACAAAAGCAGAAAAAAAATACAGTACATGTAACCTGCCAGTCATGATTATTGAGCCTTTATTTCTAGTAACATAATACCTTCAAACCTGCTTTTATGCTTGGCTTAACTACTAATTAAAAGAAAATGTTATTTGTTGTTAGCAATCTAAAGTACATGGTTACACATCAAAATTACCATTAGCATTTCATTACAACCAAATCAAATAAATTAAAGCTTTACTAATTATCAATCACTTACAATAAAAAAAACTTTTTAGTATACATATGCACTACAGCTTTTTCTTAAAGTACCTCCAAACAAGGAATGCACAGACTTCCACATATTTGAGCTCACATGTATATGCATTACCCAAATATTGAATATATATATACCAACAGATGCCCCAAAAATTTGGGATTTTCAAAAAATGATTGAATAAATAACTTTTTTTCTTTTACCAAAAACAAACACTGAAATTAAAATTCAAAAATTGTACTTAGACAAGTATCAACCAATGCATCAAACCTTTTGATGTTTTAGTTACCATTATCAACTGGTCCACACAAGTAAATAAGTACATATTTAAAAATACAAATTATCTAAATACTTGTGGTACTGTAAATGCAATTTCTTACTTATAAGCCTATAAACAACTTAAGATTACACATAATAAAGATAAAAAAGTTCCAAAAATCACTGAAACTGTTTACAATTATTCTCTGTTATCTAACACCTCAGGGAATAACTGAGCAGTAATGACTATGTATTGTGAACCTTGTTGTCTGTTCAAGCATTCATCTGTCTCCCATTTGAAAAGCTGCACAAGCAGGCAAAGCTCAACACTCACTATTGAAATGATGGAAGAACAAGCATGAATGACGTTGATGCCAAATTTTATCTTGCAAGCAGGATATTCTACACTAAAATGCTCAGCAATTACTTTTTGTGCTTAGCGATATAAGTAGCTCAGATCTTCAGCTTCAGATCTTCTGAGTGAAACAAACAATTAACCTTTTTAAATTCCATGAAATAATTTAAATTGATAGATTAACTTAAACTTTTCCTGTCAATGGGGGCAGGTACTTTTGCTTGTGATGCATATTTTCATGCTAAAGTTGATATTACTAAACTACATACTAGATGTTCCAGCACTCCTGTTTACATGCAATTCTGGAATCACCTACAGCATAATGATAAAAAATCTGAGTCACGAGGTTTTTAGTTATGCCTATACAGTTATGTATATGTAAGTGTATGAAAAACATGTATGTATGAGTAATAATATTTTGTTTATTGAACACTGAGAAATTCAAAACAAAGACCACATACACACACTTCTCTTACACTTTCCCCCCAAAAATCTAAAATACTTACAGAAGATTCCAGTAAATTGTTGACAAATTACAAATTAAGATTGATACTAGTTATTCTTAAGGTTATTCTTAAAACACTGTTGTGCAATTACATAAATTTGTAAATTTAACTGAGTAGGTCAGCTATAGTGTCATAATTTAGCATTTTTTTAATATCTTCAAGTACATTTCCTCATCTGACAATAAATGAACAACTGTCTTCAAGTTAAATTGTGGTTAAAAGGAACAAAAAATTTTATGATATCTTTCTAATAATTCAACATTGAAGTGTATTTAGATAAAGCTAACAAACTGAGTTTTTATCAAAGCCCATTCCTACATGGATTAATACAAGAATTATTAATAAAAAATTTCCAAAGTTAGAAGCATAATAAATTTACTAGTAGAATGTTAAGGCTTATTAAAATAAAAATAAATCAAGCTTATTATTTTAAGGCAATGAGGGATTATGAGATTCTCTTAGCAAAAAAAAAGAA